AATAAACAATAATATCAACTAACATAATTAAAAACGCTTCTATTTTTCTTGGCCTATATTAGCTCCTATTTTTTATAATTTTTAATTTACTAAATTTTCTCTTGCAATTAATCTGCGTAAATTACAAAGTTAGAATGTATTCATATGCCAAAATAAATTAGTGTATGCACTTGTGTGCATATTGTGTCTTTTAAGAATTCCATACACGCATATTAAACACTTGCTATAATTATTATCAGTCTGAGTTATTATTCATATTGTAATATTCCATCTTTTTCATTTGACTCCTCACTTGTACATACGATATCATCGTACGTTTCATTTAATTCTGCTATTAAATCTTTGAATAAACTGGTAAATGAACACAATTCGTTACGTAATTTAACACTCAATATATTTGCCAATTGTGCCACTTTTTCCAAAGCCTTTTATACCTTAACTATTTGTTTCATTAAAATGCCTTGGATGCAAATCAAAAATAAGCTCTTATTTGCAGAAACCGATAAGCTGTTTATAATTTGATCAATTATAGGACGAAATAATTTAACCCTATAAAGGTCAATCGATTCTTGGACGTTCATCTACCCCTTTATCACTATATATTATCTTCGCTCTTCCTATTCGATTTAATGGCAGAGCATTCTGTACCCATATAGTTTCAGGAGCTTTAAATATGAAAGTATTTCTTTAAATTAAAGCCATTATTGTTTTATTATGTATCGACATATTAGTTTGATACAGAAGACTTAGCATCTATCATTTTTCATGCTGACAAAATATCTAAATTTTTAGTTTGAAGATTTAATGACAGTGACCCATTATTTCAAAAATATCCAAATATAGGTACTTAGAGTCTTAAATTTACATAAATCATCGATCAAAGTCTACGCTTTTTCCTCAAGTTATATATTACACTGTGACAAATTTCGACTTGATTTTTTGGGAGAAAATAAAATAAACATGTTTTAAGACAGTTTTTTATGCATATTCTAAATCCGCTGTCAGTTTTTTTTAGCACGTCAGGTTTTTTATTTATCTTAGGTTAAAGTGGCCAAAAAGGTCATTTTTAGCACTTTTTGAAGGTTTATAACTTCGGTTCTAATGATCCCTACAACTAAAAAAATATCTTAATTTTTGCAGCAAACCTTCCTTATTATTATTATACTTTTTTTTTATATAAAATCCTTACTCAATTTTTAAACAACCTATATTTTTTAAATTTACCTTTATTTATAAAATCATTTTTAATATAGCTTACATTTAATATATTTATTTATTGTGGCTTTCGTTCTCAAAAAAAAATTAAATGTTTATGAAAAATTAAGCGCTAAAAAAAATAATTCTTCCCCTTTCTTCCTACTCGTTATTTGGCATTATTATTTATTGCCTATACTACGGGTTCAAGGTACTCCATTGGAAAATCATATATTTTGATATAAATTGATTAAAAAAACAAATATTCTTAAATACATCTAAAAATGATAAATATTAATAAAAAATATGAAAAAATTACCAATTATTGCATTTTAAATGAATTTTGCTTCAATAATGCTCAATTCAAAAAGAGTACAAATTAAAAAAATGGGTACAGATATCTGATTTTGGTATACATTGATCATAAATGCATAAAATATTACTAAATACAACTAAAAAGATAAATATTACCTTAATTTTTCTTTAAAAATGCTTTATGCAGAGAAAATTTAATAAAAGTGTACAAATTATAAAGTTCGAAAATATCTGTACCGACTTTTTTAATCTATAGATTTTGGTTGAATTTTCATGGCATAGAGTACATTTGACACATAATTAGAATTAATATATAATCTTGAGCATATTTGAAGCAAAATTGTATCAAATTTATCTTCTAAAGTTAATAATTTTGATAGTAATTTAAATTGAAAACTTAAGACCCCCAAAACGAAATTCTTTACCATTTTTCTCAAAAACAAATCGATAGAAAATTATAAAAATTAGTAAATTTATAAAGAAATATAATTTTAACACTATCACCAATTTTCAGGAATTTTTATTCTATACTTTTTAAAATATATTCGTATAAAGACCGAAATTTTACCATTTTTGAGATTTCGAAAAGTTGTCTTTATACGGTAATATTTTTAAAACTTGACGTGTAGGGAAAATTTGGAAAACGGATTCGAACTCAGCGTCAGATTCTGCACCAAAATTTGTTTTTATTTATTTCTCCCATTTTGACACAGTGTTATCTATTATAAATTGAAGTGTACTTATAGTTATTGGGATCAATCTCTCTTTACCATATATCCATCTAAAAGATTTTTCACGTGACCGCCACCTTGTCTCACCTATTTTTGCAGCCTTCTCAACATATTTTGGCCAGATGAATTATTCTGTTTCATCCAAGCATCCATCCTTTAAAATGATTCACCAAAGAAAGTTGCGAGTCTGTTCAATAATCCAAATAAATTTTTGCCTTCAATACCATATGACATATACAGAGATTTAATAAGTGACGGTAACACCCAATATACAAACTACCTGGAGCCTCTTGTCCAATAAAAGTTTTCAATCCAACAAATTTATCCCGCATATTTGCAGCACCATTATTTCTCATTTGAATTCCATGTTTTAAAAAGTATTCACTCAAGATATCAAATAATCCTTTTCCAGAAGAATTTATAACTTTTGTAAGTGCGAAAAGCCTTTCGGTTATTTTGCCATTATATATATCGTAGGCAAATAGTTGCTTGATCATAAACGCTGATATCTTGAGTATTTGCAAACTAAACCGTTTGTTACCAATCCCCATTTTAAAATTCCTGATTTGATTAAGAACAGCAATAACTTTGTTAAGTTGTTTTTGACAATAAGATTATGAGAACCTCTTACCTTCGATTTTAATTTGTCAGAGAGTTTAAGATTTTCTTTTCTACGTTTGCTCTTTAAAATAGCCTTCTATAACTGATCTCTGAGTATTTGATCATTCTTTAATATAATGCGAATCAATTCCAGGAAATTCCCATAATTCAATTTTCATTTTCAAAGTGGCTAGCTAAGTGTTTTAGTAGCATTGATCCTCTGTAGGGTAAGTTTTGATTTCCTAAAAACTTTATTATCTCGAATATTTGTTTTATTATGCAAACTGTTATAAATTTAGATTTTTTTCATTTAATATTTTAACACTAATTGAATTATCAAATAACTTGTTTTTTGATGCTCTGAGGTAGGACTGGATTGCACTAGACTGGATTGCACTAATAAGTACTCTTGAATTTTCATGTATTTTAACGCATACTGCAAATGCCAGGCAGATTGAGCAGTAGATAGGTTTGGCTTTATTGCATATTAGTTTTATTGTAATCCATTTTCTAAGTATTTTTTCACTATTTACTGGTTGTATAGGATGTTGTTATATTAAAAACAATAGAAACTTTTTTTAAAAATTGTTGTAAAATTACAAAAAATGAAGATGGAATTATCTAATTCTCATGCGACGATTTGGAGAACATATGAAAATATCCCAAAATGCTAAAGGAAAGCAGAAAGCACTCTGGTACAACGAAAATAAATTAATTACTGCCTTAATAGTTAATAAGCAATATGCAAAATAGGTTAATGGATCCTGATTCCGAAAACTTTAGCAATCTGATATGGAATATTTAAAACAAGATAACTGGCCAGCTGACCCTCACATTCGTTATGGGTAAGAGCTAATTAAACGAATTTATTTCTTACTGATGCTCGATGTGGATCTCTCAATAATTGAGAAGAGGGTGTATTTTAATGATGATAGTATATGCTTTAAAATTGTATTAGCACAATTTTGTGTAGTACTGCTGAAATCTGAATATGAGCATGGCATTCACCATGTCATTATGACGGATTTGCTTGCAAGTGTTATATAAAACATTCCAGTTTAATGATGATAAACGTTGACGCACATTCTCTCAGTCAGTGGAATTCTTCATATACTAAAAAATGTCTGACAAATTACAGGTCATCGAACGATAACTAGTCAAGGAAGTGTGCTGTTAATATTAAAAATATGCTATAACGAATATTGTAGTTCATTTTCACCTTTTTTTGATCTCCTATCTATTATATAATATAATTATGAAATTCATTCTAAAAAATTACGTCATTTTAAATATTTTTTGCAATATATTTCAATTCTTATAACTTTCTATATAGCTATTTGGTATAATATAATGTATTTTATATGAAAAAAAAAATTTATCTCAAATTCTTGAATTTTGGCTAAATTAACATGCTCCTTAAGAGTAATAGCGTGCCCCCGCAGTCATTTGGACAACATCGATTTTGAATATGAATCATAATTTGTTCGAATATGAAACAATTAATCGGAGGTTTGTTTTTAAATATTATTAAAATTAATATAAAATTGTGGAAATATATTTGTTTATTTTCATAATTTCCTAAACCTTATAAAATATTACCTGCCTATTTTGAATTTTCTCTTAAACTAATATTTCAAATCTTATTTAAAACGGTAAATTCAAATGATATTAAAAATGACTTTGATTCATAACTAAAGACAATATACTCTACTATAACACTCTTAAATTAAAGATATGCATAATACATTTGTAGAAAAAGAACAGTTGGTAAAGAAAATAATAGGAAGACAATTTTCATTTGATGCCTATTTCAATCTTATAAAGTAGAACAAAGCATATTCCTTGTTTTTATAATATGGTTAAAAAGCATTTATTAATTTTAATTTTTAAAAAATTATAAAATATCAAAAAGCTACTTTTGCAGGCATAAATGATAATGATTAAAAAATTTATATTTGTTGCCTAATAAAATTTATTTTATAGCCATATATGGTTCTAAAAAAATAGAAGAAAAAGTCCAAGGCTCCCTAGGCTACTTAAGCTTTTTAAAAAAATTATATTGTTTTCCAAATCGCAAGGAATAAAATTAAAATAACATCATTTAATAATTCTTAATACAGATATGACACTAAATGACGTTCTTTATTGACAGGACACGAAGATATAAAAATATTTTAAAAATTACCTACCTTCCTTCTCAAAATGCATTATATTAATTACAGGTTGTACATATAAATAATGATGTTAAAAAAAATAAAAACATTTCTAAGTTATTTTTTATTCCTTTTTCTTTTTTTCTTGTTAATATTTTTATCATCCTCATTAGTGGTCTTACTACTGTCCTTAAAATGAGCGGGGTATTCATATATCCATTTTTGAATTAACGAAAATGGGTGATTTGTATTTGCACAATCTATTTCTCCGATAAAATAAATCTCGATTAAAAACGCGTGTATTTCAACGAGACAAAAAGCGTCCATAGCTGAGTACAGAGTCTGTGATAGCCTAAGCGGCCTGTTGGCCCATCGAGATACTTGTTCTTTTTTATCAAGATATTTGCCGAAACACCAAAACACTAGTTCGCTTAGTCCTTTCTCGTTTTTGGGTCTGGACTTTGATTTGGTTAGACTGAGGTCGTTCAATTTATTAACGCCTCCGTTTATTGTGGAATCGACCCAGTGAGAATTGGTAGCAAAACTTTTACGATGATCGGGGTGGAATGGAAGGAGGGATACGTTAAAAATATCTTTAAATTTTCGGAGGTCTAAAAAATTCAAGGGCTTGAAATCGAGGTTTACTTTGCAATTCTTAGTGGTGTGGCTTTTGAGATTGTCGAGGTCTTGTTCAAAATCAAACCCTATTTTTAGTATATGAGGGTTCTTCATGACTTGGGCAAATGCTCTCCAACAATCGACCATTTCTACATTATTAGAAGATAAATTGAGCATGTCAAATAAAAATATGTCCTTGTTAGTGGCAACTTGGAAGAGATCTATTTGTGATTCGTTGTTGATATCGGGAACAGAGCAAGGGTTCCATTCCGCATCCATTCCAATAGCTGTTATCGACTAAATTTGTTTTTAAAATTCACATTTTTTAAAAAAATAAAAGAAATCATAGCTTGCTATTTTGTTTTTAAATGAAAATTATTTTGAACAATGAATGAACACACCCATAATTTTTATTAAATAATATCAGCTGCAAATAATGCTTTAGACAGGATGTAAATTAAAAAATATATATTAAGCTCAAGGGTTTTGACTTATTTATCGAAGACCATATATTTAAACGACAATGTGTGTAATCAAACATATTACCTGATTATTAACATAGTCAATATTATTAATGAAACAAAGGGTTCTGGACCAAATTGTCTAAAATTATAAGAGATATTCTACACATACTGGAAATACATTATCGGCAAAATTATAATATCAAATTTTAAAAAAAAGAAAACACATAGTCAGAATGTCAAACTGAACCTTTGAAATTTGACGAACTTGATACTACTTATTAGCAGCAATAGCAATGTCTGTTTCAACATAAGTTTCAGTCGAAAGGAAATTTTCAAGGCTTTCTATCCTCATAAAGAACAAATAATTAGTAATTTATACATATGTATAAATTACTAAATTTTTAATGAACATTCAAGGTTTTAGAACGTTATTAGGGCTGTGTCGATATTAAATAAGGATCGGCACAGATATTAGCGTTTTCCAAAAATATCGGATCGGGCCAATACCTCTAAAAAACCGATTCGATCTTTTACTTTTCTTTGTTATATTATATATATTTATTTTACATCTTTTACTTTTCTTTTTTTTGTTATTTTATGTAATTTATTTTACATTAATAATATTTTCTAAATAATTTTTTTTAAACAATGCAAATGCACAATACCCTTTAAATTTTATTAATTTTTTAAATAGATTTATAGTATTTTAAAAGTTTTATAAAAATAGAAAGGAACATCCAAAGTTTTATTTATTTTAAATCTTTTTAAATAATAAGGCCAATTTTATTATTTATACTTTAAATAAAAGAATTTTTTTAAAATATGGTATCTGAATTATAGAAATATTTTACAAAGACAAAGATATTTTCAAAATGCGTTATCTGCGGAATTCTAATTTCACGGGGAAGAATAATGAAAAATTTATTTAATACTACCAAAATCCGTAAACCTTTTTTAATTATTGTAGAAATAAAAAATGAAATGCATAATTCGATTATTTGCATAAAAAATATTGATTTCTTAATTACATTTGGTTCAAATAGGGGTGGTGAAAAATCATACGGATCGGTATCGGTTTTGATATCGGATCGGATAGGTAAAAAATATGTGGATGCACAGCCCTTTATTTTACCATACCCTTTACAAAATATTAATTCTAAACCTGAATAGAACCTAAATCTTTTATATTTATTCTTTCTGAAATCATCTGGACCTACATAGTTCGACGTTATGAGAATAATTTGAATATTTTTCAACTTAAAATTATTTATCCATGTGCTTTTTTAATTTTGAAGGATTTGAATTTGTCAGAAAAGGATTCCATCAGATTATGTAAAATAAGAACCTTATAAGTTCCAGCCCATTTTGCAAGATATTATATATATATATACTAACTAGACAATACTCGTAAAGTTAGATTAGACATGCATAAAAATATCCAATTGTATTCACGAGGTATAGTTTAGTTTGGTAATTAGCTATAAAAACAAATATCAAGCAATGATATTAACACTAATCTAGAATGACAGCTCATTTATTAAAAATGTATATACAATGGTAGTCAATGCCATTTACTGAAGTAAATGTCATTGTGCCTTTCATATTTTCGTTTAAATGTCTTCAACGCACGTACACTTTTAATGCATTTTAATGAATGAATAGTCAGTCTAAGTTAGTATTGAAGTCATTTGATATTAGATAGTATTTCGCTCCGTTTTAATATTAGTTTTTTAGAAAAGGATTAATAAAATATAAAATACAGAACACTAAAATCTATAGTTGGATAATGGCTAAAAATCGGCGATTTAGGCCCAATTTAGAAGAGCATGCCGAAGAAAATCCGCTGAGCAACCAGGGGAAGGTTAATATATTTCTCCTTTGTTCAAAATCGAGATGTATATTTTTTTAAACCTCGAAGATAGTTATAGCTTTAGACTATAAACTATATCTCTCCGTTTTTTGGGAGACTAAAAATAGAGCAATTAATTACCAAACTATAATAAGGACAAAAACAAATTATTAATGTGGGATGGTAATAGCATTTTAGAAAAGTAGTCCTTCGAGAAAAAAAATTATACTGTTCATTTGGGCTCATTATTTTTAAAAAAAAACCACCCAAGAGAATAAAACGAGCCGTTCATTAAATAATTATAAAATTATACAAACCTTATCTAACAATGTCGCTAAAAATGTTTTAAAATCGCTAATATTTTCAACCATGTGTATGTGTTTAGATGATATCTTCAAGTGATAAAAATTGTCTGCGACTTCCGCTTCTTCCGTAACATCATATTTATATAAGGAACCAATAGATGGTAGAGGGTATACAATTTTATTCAGAGATATATAGGAAACCCTGATTATATTGATAGGCTGCTTCAACTGTTTTAAATATTATTATATTAAAGAGCAATAAATATAATTTATTTTTTTATTTTTCTTACCAAATGTGGCAGATAACCATATTTGTAAGACCAATACCATGAATAATCATCCAAATAAGATTCCAATAGCAAATTAATGAAATTCAGTCTCATGGAAGGATATTGATCAAAGCATAGCTTAATCTATAAATAATTATATTAGAATGAGTCAATGTATTATATTCTTAAACCAAGTCATGTGTGTTTTCGTCTATAATCTTATTCCTAGCGCAATTTTGTTTGTAGAGATAATATCGGAACATACTCTCAATCATATTTTTCTTTAAATTTGGGCATATTTCTATTTTAAAATAATGATTTTTTTATAATTATATATCGGAAAATTTGAATGATCGAATATAAAAAATAGTTGCACACTTAGGCCTCATTTAAAGTAAGCGGGACTTAACACCGTGAAGCGTTTGCAAAATAAATAATGGTAAATAATACAGCGGGTGATTCCATCTTTAAATTTTTCCTCTTCTAAAACTAGCCACCTTGAGTAGGTAGCTACGCGGTTAGAAGTAAGAGATTAGTTATGATTAGGCATATATAATATATCCGATAATCTTCTTAAAAAGAATTTATAATGTTGGGCAAATTTTTTCGAACCGGACCTGAAAAGATGTGTCTACTCTAATAAAGGTATACTTAATAATTAATACTGAAGAGATACAGTTCGCTTTAATTATATTGGACTGTTAGTTTCTTACGGCAGTGTAGTTAATCGCTACCGTTATTTTACAAAAAAAGTAGCGCTATTTTCTACTCTTTACCAGTGTTGTTAAAAGCTACTTTTAAAAGTATCGCGCCATCGCTACCGCTACTACTTTTACGCTATTTTAGAATATTTTTTTTACATATCTCTATTTCCACAAATAAAATAATTAAAATTTCAAAAATATATAATTTTTTTTATTGCATCTAATGATAGCATTTCCATACTGTCATCCCCATGTCTAGAGCGACGATCAGAAAGTATAATCTGACTAAATAATCGTTCAACACTAGCACTTGAGGGCAATGCAGTATTAAATTTAATATACATATTTTTTTTATAAAAAATCATTAAATATTTGAGTAATTTAAAAAAATGCGCCTAGAAGATTTTTAATAGTATTATTTATTTCAAAAATATAATCTATAATAGGTGGTTTGATCTGGCTAGGGTCGGTCTAAAATTATAATAGTAATAGTTAGAATAAATGTAGGGGAAGTGACATAAATGGCCATGTTTGCTGACTGGCCAGGCCACCGCCCTTTAACTTTTTATCTATTGAATCAATTTAAATGTGAAAGGATTGAAATAAGGATTTAGCATGTTTTGATAAAATTTATAAATATATAGATGAGTGGTTAACTTTAAGCATATTTAACATCCATATAATAATTTATAAAATATTATCATTACATAGATGAGTCTGATGATAAAATGAGATATTAATATTTTTAGAATATAATTTTTGAATAATATCTTATGGGCTGTTGAAACATACCATGTTTGGACTGGGACAGAAAGTCAACTTTCACATAAACAAAATTAGCTCTAAAACTATTATACTGCTTTGATTCAAATTTTATATTAAAGATTAAGAATTGAGCTATACATTGGTATTAAATTTGTTTGATATATCACTTCTAAATATTTCATCGCTGTCGTCGAAACTACTAATCCTTTTTGAAGATAAAATCTTCCGGCACATGTTAAAATGAAATTTAAATCTGTTAATTTTATAGGGTAAAATATTATGCGAATTCAGGAAAAGGAAATCCCATATTATCATCATTTTCAATGGGAATTAATTTGTCGATATGATCTGTACCTATCTTTAATTTCAATCTCTATTATCGTCGACATTTTAAATTATTTTGAAAACTAGATTTATAATGCCGATTTTTAAATATAAATTTCAAGATTAAATTTTAAAAAAAAAATTATGATTCTAGAATTAATTATAAATATATTTTAATAATTTTTACGTGTATTTATTATATTAAGGCACTTTCTAAAGTAGTAGAGAGCCATTGCTATCGCTTTTAAAGTAGCGCGCTAAGCTACCGCTTTTAAGAACAATACTTCTTACGCTACTTAAAAATATTTTTTACGTATCTATTTTCAAAAATAAAGATTATTGGTATAAAAATATGACTATAATTTTAAATATATATATAATTTATTATTACATTTCAATATTAATATTTCTATACTGTCATCCCCAAGTTTAGAGCGATAATTAGAAAGTGTTTCTTACTAAAAAAATCGTCCAACACTAGCACTTAAGGGAAACGCAGTATTAAATTTATATTTTTTACATAAGATTATCATCAAAAATATCCATTTGAGTATTTTTAGATTTAAAAAATGAGTCTAAAGAATTTTCAATAATATTATTATTATTTTCAAATCATCTCTAGTAGGTTGCGTTTTTTATCTGGCTAGGGTAACCTGGTTTGGTATAGTATTATTTAACGTTACTATTAGCTAATCAAGTTGCTTTTGGATTATTCAAATTAATATATGTTTAATTTAACTTAAAACTAGGGTTAACAATAGCAGCTATGTTAAATCCAGATAATAATTTATAAAATGTTATCATTAAATAGATAAGTCTTATGATAAAATGAGATGTTAATATTAATTATTTATTGCAGGTTTTAATTTATAATATAATTCTTAAACAATATCTATGGCCATTTGAAACATAAAAAATATAGGATTGGGCTACACATTGAAATTAAATTTGTTTAATATATACCTTTAAATGTTTTATCAAGGAATTACTAGTCTTGTTTGATGATAAAACCTTCTGGTACATCTTAGAACAAAATTTATATCCTGTGTTGATTGTTTTATCGAGATTAAAATATTTTCGAATTTAGGAAAAGAAATTCCATATTCCCATCATTTTCCAAGGATATTACTTGGTCGATATAATCTGTACCAAAATCATCTTCAATATCAATCTCTATTGTGGACATTTTAAAATTTTAATTACTTTGAAAACTAATTTATAATGTGTGTTTAAATATAAATTTCAAAATTAAATCAAAAGATTATGATTTTAAAATTAATTATAAAATTATAAAATATTTATATAATTTTTTATCTATTCATTATATAAAATTGTTTAAATTAATAGCGAGCTACCGTAATAGCTATTTTTAAATAAGGTAGCTACGGCTACTGAAAAAAAAAAGTAGCGTGCTATTTTAACAACACTGATAAACGGGGATTGATTATATCATATATTTTGTAACGAGTTTTACTCCTAAAAATAAAACATCTCTTGTAATCTTACTAAATATGTCGGAGGAAACTTCATCGTCGGCCCGTACCTACCCAAATGATATTGAATACATAAATAAATACTGAAAAAAATATTATTTGTTTTCATGATTGCAGCAAAAATTTCGTACCTCCAAGGAAAAATGAAATTAACTGTAGCGAACGTTAATAATATCGATTACCCATAACTTTATTAACAACTATAATCGATACTAGTTTTACTAATTGAACATAAATTCTTTATTAAGCACAATCATTTCAATTCATAAATTTGCGTCGAAATCATAAAAAAGTGAGGATAATTATATTCCAATAACTATAGTTGGGTAATGGCTAAATGTCGGCGAATTCGAAGCAAACTTCAGGTGCTTGCCGATGAAAATCCGTTAATATTAAGACGCTTTAATTTATATTAGTTTCTTCCAAATTTGAGCGCTATCTATTTAAGAAAAACCTGAAAAGAGATAGATTTCGGCTAAAAACTTGGTTTAACCGATTTTTTTGCCAGGTAAAAATTGGCTTAAACGAACGGCTAAAAATATAGTAATTACCCAACTATAATATTAATGAGGGTTAACTATAAAAGATGTTTTACTGTATTATTATATCAGTATCACCAAAACGCTAACTAAATAGAATATAAAATAATTCACAGAAGATAATTTAATTAGATTTCCTTATGTCATTTTTTTACAGAATAAGGGGGAAAAGCTGAATTAAATTTATTTGTGGCAAATGTTTATTCCAAATTGCATCATTAAAAATGGTAAGAAAATATTTGAAAGACCATTATAAAAACAAAAAATGTCACCTCTTTAATAATGTTTACTAAAATTGGAATTAATTCCTAATTTTTTTTATATTAAATTAAATTTAAAAAAACATTAAACAGTAAAAACAAAAGAAAAAACTATATTTGACAAAATTTAACAATTCCTGCTTTCTTGATTCCCCCTTCTATTTGTAGCTAACCTCAGCAGTTAACTATGTGAATGATTTAACACAATCATGTATAAATATTTTGATAATAATGAGTTTTTTTGTGTTCCAAGAATTAGCACACTTCATGAAAGAATAAACTGGGATAAAAAAAATTAAGATCATCCTTATATCCATCAAATTTGAATCTGTTTTTAATCAAGATTTAAAATATCTTAATATTTCTGAATTATTATTGCATATTTTATTTGTAAATATGTTTATATTTTCACCCTATTCTCCCTTTTGATTAAAATGATAGATAATAAAAAATAGTTTGCCAGATATTAAACTCAGACTAGTACTAGGAATATATTTTACATGCAATCAAGTTATTGATATAAAATTTTGTTTAATCAAATTATATAAAAAATCATATATAACTTTGTCAATGATCATACTTGATTTCAATTTAAAAGTCTTAAGCAAGGTTTTAACAATATTTACTAATTTTTTATTGTCCAAATTAATTTTAATGTCCTTGTATTCAAGTTGATGTGCAAATTCCTGCAGAATGTGTATATTACCAATATAACCATCAAGCATTTGGATAAAAATTTTTTGTTCTGTGGGCATATTTTTCAAAAAGGTATAAATTGGTCTTGTATCACTAATTAATGCTAATGGTATTAATACATCCTTTTTCAAATGCATGTTAAGTTTATAATTAAACAATATACTTTATATATTTCTACCATAGAATACATATCCAGCTCTTTTATAATTATGGAGGCTATTAAATATTTTTTCTCATATAATAAAGCTTGAACAAAGGTTGTTAAGAATATTGCATGCATTGTTTTAAGTTGGTATAGTTGCACAATAATTGCAAACAGATTAATGTGATTTCTATTTTATTGATATTTTAGAGATGTGTTTTAAATATACCTGAACCTGGTTGAAAGTATAAGAGCACATTTCTTTAATTCATCATTTACCAAGTGTAAATATTTTTCACTTTTACAATTAATCCATTTATCAAATATTATCAAAATAGAGTGAGAAAAATTAAAGTTCTTAAAATTGAAGTAATCAAAAGCATTCATTGAAAGATATAATGATAATTTATATGGATTTTCATTAGCCTCAAGATTTGCCATAACTTGTTCATTGAAAAAGTTATCACCTGAATAGTTATTAGTTTTCCATATATTTTCCAAATTTAATAATATCTTTTTATTTTCTGGACACTGAATAACATTAACAATATTGTTGTAATCTTTCATATTGATATTCATAATAAATGGTAAAAATGGATATATGCCATCAATAAAAATATTTGTGATAGCGTGATATATGCACCTTCTTACTAAATAATATAACAGCAACATAAGCACCACTTTCCTCCCGCCATGGTAAACATACATTTATCTATTTGTCTATAAAACTCTTCATGTACCTAACCTTGATATAATTATCCAAAATATACTCAACTCACTAATCTAATATTCTTAAATAGTAAGGCAGATTTATTTAAAAAATATATCATATTTATATTAAATAAACAAATTCAATATAGACCATAAACTTAAAATTTACCAATACCCCTCCCTATAATTTACATTTTACTTAATCGGGTACGGGCTTTTCTCTCTCTTCTTATTTCCCGTAGGCGTTTAAGCAAGCGGTTTCGCCTCTTGCGCGCACAGGTAACTGCAGCCTGCCCAAGAACTGTGGATGGGCTCATCTCATAGGTTACCCCCAAATTTCTTAACCCAATTAGATGGGATGAGATAGTCCAAGCGTAGCTCTGCTGTTTCATATAGCGATAAAGGGTAATTGCGCTTATTATGACGTATGACGTAGTTGTTAACCCAAATTTTAGACCAACTAATCTTAAGGTAAATATAAACACACCTCCAAATAGGAGAGACAGATTACTCTTTTTAGATGGGCTAGAAATTGTTATCAATGCCTTACCCAGGAGATATAATATAATTTTGATGGGCTATCTAATCATCAGGATTGGTTTGGAAGAAATTTATAAAAAGAGGGACATAATTGGTAACGCAACTCTCGCTCAACCAAATGAAGATGATAGCATGAAAATACTTGATTTATGCATTAGCAAAAATCTCAAAATTGAAAACACCTTTTTCTCTCATGGAGAGGCGAATACTTTCACCTTTAAAAGAGGGAGTTATAGATCACAGATAGATTTTATCATATTAAATGTTCATAGTTGGTTCAAAGATGTAATGGCTATGATAAATATAAACCTATCCAACCACAGAATGATCAAAGCCAAGATCTTGGTAAGGAATTTATGGGGAACCCCTATTAAATCTAATTACACCATCAATCAAACGACAAATATGTTCAGAAGACAAAATATCAGCAATCTACAAATACCTGAAATTAGAGATCTGTTTGACCAAAAACTACGTTAAAAGGTAGCAAGGTTTGTAGATATATCTCAATTCAAAACAATCGAAGAAAGATGGATGTTGTTTAAGGGAGACATTCACGAAGCAAGCAAGATTCTAGGAAATAACAATTCTCTTGTTAGAAATGAATGGATATCTACGAGTACTTTACTAAAAATTGAGGAGCTTCGCTCAACGAAAATTTTTAGAAGACTACCATCCATCCGTTTGGAAAACAACAAAGTTATATTTGACCAGGTCAGTGGCGTAGCTACGGGTGTGGTTTTCGAGTTTGGACCCCTCCCAGAGCTAAATCTTTTTCAGATTATACGTTCAAAAGACTTAAAAGTGACTTTATATTAAATAAATGCCATTAATATTTATATTTTTCTAGTTTTGATGTTTGTGAAAGGATATTATATTACTATTGAAATTATTCTGGATAGTATTATTATAAAGTCATTGAGAATAATCTACTAAATTATAATAACATATTATTGATACATTTAAAAAATGTATATATTATAGAAGATATGGTTATAATTTGTATGATTAACCCGGCCGAGGGCCGGGAAAAAGGGCCGAAGGCCCGTCAATAGGGGTCTGGGGGGCGAAGTCCCCCAGGCTTGTATATGTATGGACCCCCTCTAAGAAAAATTCCTAGCTACGCCACTGGACCAGGTAGATCAAATGGCACTTTTGACAGATTATTATTATATGAATATCTTTGAATCTAGAAAACTTACGAGGATATCATATGAACAACAACTTCCTCCCAATCAACCTCCCTATTTACACTGACTGAAATTTCCACCGCTTTGAAGAAACTAAAGAATCACAAAGCTCCTGCTCCGGATAATATCACAGGAGAACAATCAAAAGCAACATCGAATGGCATACCACGCTTCCTGCTTAGTATCTACAATAAAATATGGGCTTCGGGGATGACTCCTAAGGATTGGAAATTATCCACTCTTTGAAACTTTTCAAAGATCGCCAACCCTATTAATTTCCGTGATTACAGGGCAATCGCATTTACTTCGACTGCGTCCAAAATTTTAATGGTTCTACTCAAGACCGTATTTAACAAATGTCGCAAAATCTCTTTGGAAAATATATTTGTGCCTATCGTCCAGGTAAAATATTATGGAGTCATTTCTCACTCTTAAAATTATTACTCAAAAATGTAATAGATACAAACCATAGGCGTAGCCAAGATTTTCCTAAGGGAGAGAATTAAAAAATTACTGGGGGCTTCGCCCCCAGACCCTCTCTTGGCAAGCCTTAGGCCATATAAAATATTTTAACAAGATAGGAGGTTAATTTTAATTAAAACAAAGCCTGGAACAAATATGAAATATTTTCATTAGTTTATAAAAAATATAATGAATTACATGTATATACATTAATATAAAAGCATGGTAATAATTTATTCCAAACAAGTATAAGAAATTTATTTATAAAAACTAAGTAGTCATATAGTTGATATTCCTTTATTTAGAATTAGTTAAACTAAGTAAAATTCCACTTTTACAGACATATTTGACAGTTAGAGAAGATATTACAGTTAATATTTTAACAAATTTTACTAATCAATGCTCTTGATAATATATATAGCATCAATTAGCTATAGCATCAATTAGCATTTAATTATTTAACGCCATCTATTTATTTTAAATAAAAAATGATATTAAAAATTAATTTTCATATTATTCATCCCACAATGTCTTTAAAAGATATTTTCTGATGTCCTTATCAATATATTATATAAAATATATTATTCGCTATATTGGTAAAAATTACTTGATTGTCATAGGATAATTGATAAAATTAGATATACTGTAAATCTACGACATATAATATTCCACTGTTCGTATTGTGCTTTAATTTTTTTTATTTAATTTATGATTTAATTTTATCAATACTTTTATAATTATATTTTACTTTTATCAAGATAAATAAATTAAAATTACTCACTTTATAAAAAATTATATTTGATATTATATTATTTAGTAATTTTATGGATCTATTATTAATAATTATAATACATTTCACTTTTGTCTTAAGACTTATCTTTGGCTTATATTCCATTTCTTAAAAAACATTTTTGATTCACTTTTTTTAGTTTTATAAAAAAAATATCAACTTTTACATTTTTTCTTTCAAATTATTGTTAAAGATATATGCATACATTTTTGAGGGTCAGGGAGTGAGGGGAGGACTAAGGCTAATATTTTTTATAAGCTTAAAATGATAAGGAGGGGAAAATTTTCCCTTGCTACCCCCCCCCCCCCCTTGGCTACGCCTATGATACAAACTACCGTTTCTCTTCACTTTTATTGATTTTAAACGAGCGTTTGATAATGTCAGTCATAATGCTATCTAAGAAATATTATTAGAAGTTGGAATTCATACTAACATAATAAAGGTTTTAAGGTCAGTATAACAATTTGCTCACCTCGTGTAGGATAGACAACAAAACCTCTCCACCTTTAGGATAAAGAAGGAGTCAAACAGGGCTGTGTTCTCTCCCTTATCCTTTTCAACATAGTAATGATCAACTAAAAGATACCGTAGACGCTGTGAATCTGCTAGAACTCAACTCATTCCCAGATAATAGATACTCTCTGAAGAATAGAATTATATCTTATGCGGATGATGTAGTGATCATTACCAAAGACTTGGAAGACACTCATAACCTCATCCTCTTATTGAAATCCATAAGTCTAAAAGTTGGACTAGAAAAAATTTTAAGAACATGATCCTCTTGGCTAGACACACTATTCCCATAGAGAATATTGTAATTGGATCGGAAGTGATTCAGGTAGTCACGCAAATAAAATATCTTGGAATCACCTTGGATAATAGAGGATCATTTAAGGAAGAACTAATAAGAATACAAAAAGCTAGAATAGCCTTCTACAAATATTTCAAGCTCTGGAAGACTAGGGAGATAACGGCCCTTCCAAGATTACGGATCTTTAATTCTTATGTAATCCCTCTCTTGTTATACGGTGGTAAAACATGGAAAATTAGTAAAGGTGATAATGGAAAATGTCAAACATTTATCAACAAATTCTTAAGGATTATAAATGGTGTGTTCTACCCCAGATTAATATCAAATGATAAACTATAGAAAAAATCAAGGCACACTCCTATTCACATTCTTCTAAAGAAAAAACGCATTCAATTCCTAGCTCATATACTGAGACATCCCAACTCTACTTAGCTCACGATGCTCTAACATGACTCTTCACCTGCAAAGGAAAATCATACAGTAGATATAAGACACTTTGGTTCCACCGAGAGTTCTAATAGATGTAGCAGATCTGAACTTAAATTGGAAACAATTCATCTAATTAAATAACAATAAAAAATTCATAAATAAGCTCCTTAAGGTTATCCCTTCTTTTGCCACTCTACTCCCTCCCCTCTTCAACTACTCAAATACCTTCAACAAGAAAATAGGTTCAATTCTTATTTATTTATAATATTTTTGTATTCAGACTCTTTAAACGTTAATTTCTAGAAAGCCTTTCCCCTGTCCCCTTTACTTTAAATACAATAGGGCTGTAGGTATGGGTGTGGGCTGTTTATTCTGGTCCGCCTTATCTGAATCAGCCCACAGCAGTGGCGTAGCTAGGAATTTTCCTTAGAGGGGATCCTTACATATAAAAGCCTGGGGGCTTCGCCCCCAGACCCCTTATAACGGGCCTTCGACCGGGTTTATCTTACAAATCATAACCATATCTTCGATAATATATAATAAATATATTTTTTAAATGCATCAATAATTTGTTTTATAATTTAGTAGATTATTCTCAATGACT